CTAGAAATTTTTCTGACATCTTGATCTCAAATCAAAGTGTACAGTAAACCGCTTAATTTTCACTGCTAGAAATTTTTCTGACATCTTGATCTCAAATCAAAGTGTACAGCAAACTGCTTAATTTTCACTGCTAACAATGTTTCTGACATCTTTATCTCAAATCAAAGTGTACAGTAAACCGCTTAATTTTCACTGCTAGAAATTTTTCTGACATCTTGATCTCAAATCAAAGTGTACAGCAAACTGCTTAATTTTCACTGCTAACAATGTTTCTGCCATCTTTATCTCAAATCAAAGTGTACAGTAAACCGCTTAATTTTCACTGCTAGAAATTTTTCTGACATCTTGGTCTCAAATCAAAGTGTACAGTAAACTGCTTAATTTTCACGACTAGAAATTTTTCTGACATCTTGATCTCAAATCAAAGTGTACAGTAAACCGCTTAATTTTCACTGCTAACAATTTTTCTGACATCTTGGTCTCAAATCAAAGTGTACTGTAAACCACTTAATTTTCATGACTAGAAATTTTTCTGACATCTTTATCTCAAATCAAAGTGTACAGTAAACCACTTAATTTTCACTACTAGAAATGTTTCTGACATCTTGATCTCAAATCAAAGTGTGCAAGTAAACCACTTAATTTTCACTGCTAGAAATTTTTCTGACATCTTTATCTCAAATCAAAGTGTACAGTAAACCGCTTAATTTTCACTGCTAAAAATTTTTCTGACATCTTTATCTCAAATCAAAGTGTACAGTTAAACCACTTAATTTTCACGACTAGAAATTTTTCTGACATCTTGATCTCAAATCAAAGTGTACAGTAAACCGCTTAATTTTCACTGCTACAAATTTTTCTGACATCTTTATCTCAAATCAAAGTGTACAGCAAACTGCTTAATTTTCAATGCTAGAAATTTTTCTGACATCTTGATCTCAAATCAAAGTGTACAGTAAACCGCTTAATTTTCACTGCTAGAAATTTTTCTGACATCTTGGTCTCAAATCAAAGTGTACAGTAAACCGCTTAATTTTCACTGCTAGAAATTTTTCTGACATCTTGGTCTCAAATCAAAGTGTACAGTAAACCGCTTAATTTTCATGACTAGAAATTTTTCTGACATCTTGATCTCAAATCAAAGTGTACAGTAAACCGCTTAATTTTCACTACTAGAAATTTTTCTGACATCTTTATCTCAAATCAAAGTGTACAGTAAACCGCTTAATTTTCACAA